GGATCTAGCCTCAACTCATTGAATTAGAATCACCAGGGGAAGGGGCTGGGAGGATAGAGTTCCACTGGTGCCCAGGTGATTCATATTGTCAGGGAATGTGGAGTAGCTGGAGCTTCTGATTAAATCAAGAGAAAAGAAGAAAAGACATCACTTATCAACTCCACATGTGTTTGGGGGTGGGAGGGGTGCCAACTCTGTGCCAGGTGTTGGGCTGGGCACTGAGGATGAAGCGGTGAACAGCTAGAGACCCTCCCTGACTTCACCAAGCTCCAAGGCCAGTGGGGGAGACAGGGATGAAATAAATTGGGTCCCACAAATTGGGGCTAGGACTGGGGTGAAACTAGTGAGGCACCTGCCTTGGGCACACAATTTAAGGGGGCTCCAAAAACTCAGTTCTCGAAGAATACTTCAATCCCTATTTTAAAAAATCAAAATGAATGCAAAAATCCATGATGAATAAAATATAAACATTTTATACGAAGACAGGATCAGCATTACTGATTTTTCCTTTTGCCTCAGGCTCTGTTACGGCTCCGTGTGGCATGGCCACAAATCATTTCACCAGAAGAATTAAAGGATGTTTAGACTCTAGATAGCAGGGGAGCTGGCTGAGGCTTGGGTAGGGGGGAATCATCGTTAGACGATCGCTGATGCAGTAACGTCTACGCTGGGACTACCAGGCAAGGGTGTAAGCAACAGAACTGGCAGGAGACAGCTTTGTGCTTCTGAAGGCACTGAGGTAGCCAATGTGTCAACACCTGGGGTTCTCAGCCTCAGTGCCTGTTAGAATCACCTGGAAAGTTATAACAGTCTCAATGCCCAGGCCCCGCCCCAGACCTGGTGAGTCAGACTCTCCAGTGGTGGGGCTGAGCCTTGGCTGGTTGCTGAAGCTCAGCAGGCAGCTGCGAAGTGCAGGCTGGGTGGAGATGACCACGACCTAGTGAGACAGAGGAGCGAGAGACCAGACTTGGGAGAAAAGTAGGGGCTTGACCGAGGGCCTTGAAGGCCAGCGTCATCATTCTGGGCTTTTTCCAAAGAGCATGGCAGATCACTGGGAGGGTTTTAACTAAGATAAATTGGCATGATTCATATGTTAAAAATGAGATCATGAGTCTCGCTTGTTGCCCAGGCTAGGTGTAGTTGTTTGGTGTGTTCAGTCAGCTCACAGCAACCTCAAACTCCTGTGGCATAAGCATATCTCCTGCCAGCCTCCGGGTTTATAGCTGGGTTACTACATTGGCATTTGCGCCACCATTGCCCGTTGTATATTTTTTTTTTTTTTTAAAAAAGGGCCAATTATTGTTAATAGTAAGATGGGTAGGTTCTATCTTGCTCAGGCTGGTTCAATATCCTGACCTTCGATGCAATCCGCCCACCTTGTGTCTCCAGAATTGCTAGATTCAGGTGGAGCCACCTGTGCTGGCCTATCAATGTTTTTAAAGGATCACCTTGGCTGCCGGAGGGGGATATGGATTAGAGTGGAGGGAAGATGTGTGTTCTTGTGTGGTGAGTGAAATTCTTGAATGCGCTCATGGTAGAGATAGTGTGTGGGTGTGGCTCGTCATGCATGTGTTGAAGGGAGACACATTTAAGAAATAAGAGTAGAATTCGTACGGATTGGCGATGCTCCGTGGATGGGGCTGAAAGGAAGATGGTCAAATATGATACCCACGTTGAGGCCCAGCATCGGCAACTGGGTGGGTGGTGATAACATTCACTGAGATAGAGGACAGGGAGCATGGGGACAGGTTTCAGGGGACAAGGGGCATCATGGGTCTCGTTTCGGACATCCCTGAGTTTGCGAGATGGCCCAGCGGGGAATGCCGGGTGGGCACATGGATACAGGGAGCACGGTCCTGGAGAGGGGGCCCCGCTGGAGTTCGAATGTGGGACTGGTTGGTCCATGCGGTTGATCATAAAGCCGTAGGAGTGGGGGAGACTGCCGAGAAGACAGAGAACCAAGTGAGCAGCAGAGGAGGCCTGGGCTGCAGAAGGCCCACCTCGAGTGGCTGAGTAGGGCAAGGAGCAGGGACGAGGCTGAGAGGAAGGAGGAGAATCGGCAGGCACTGAGAACTCACGGCCACGCGGGTAGCAGGGAGCATCGCCTTTGAGACAGCTAGGCTCGCAGAAGAGAGAATGACCCCTGGGGCTGGGCAAGGAAACAACTGGTGAAAACAACTGGGCCTGGACAGACAGATCAGTAGGACTCAGGCAGAGAGGAGAAGATTCTGGAAGAGAGAGGAAAAGAGGGAGGTGTAAGAAAAGGCAGCGATGGGAAGGAATGAGGTGTGTTGGGGGCCATTAATCAAGTACAGATGAGCGGGATTCAGGCAGAAGCCTGTCTTGGAAGAAAAGGTTAGCAGGTAGGTGGTGACTTGTGAAGACTTTCTGTAGTCTTCCTCTTGCCTGTCTTTACGTGACTTTCCTCTAATCCGGCCTCTGTGGGACAGCAAGCACCATTCTGGGCAGCTTTGCTACCCCACAGAGGTGTAAACAGTCAAAGCTTTTGCAGTACTTGCAGCCCACATGACTCAAGGTGAACAGCGAGGACAGTGCGCTTTGCAACGCAGCAGGGCGCATACATTTCTGCGTTGAATGGAGTGTTTGTTTCCTTCTCCCCGACTCACCCACCTCAAATAGCCCAGCTGCAGTGTGATTGACGCTTCCCTTCTTCCCTTGTGCTCTCTTATGAGTAGAAGCACAGACAAGCTTTTGCCTGAAAGGCAAGATGCTAGTGTTATCTTTCCTGAGTGGGCTCATAAATGCAGATTCTTTGGAGAGAGGTGTGTATAATCAGCTCACCAGCCAGTATTTTGCATGTGCAATGAACAGATGTGGCTGCATTATTCAGTTTCCCAATTCAACTTCCCTGCTCGAAAGTACTTAAGAAAATGTGATGTGGATGAACACATCTCCCCAAGTGAAAATAATCCACTGACAACAGAATTAGCAACCAGAGTTGGACACGCCAAGAGGAGTTGCAAATGTTCCAGTGAACCGCTTGTCATGCTGGTGGCTTATTGAATTCTCTGCCCAAAATGTTATGATGTGCTGTGTCACTTCAAGTTTTCTTCGTAAAGATGAAATAATTTCTAATTATATTTCTTGGGACACTATAGTAATTTTGAAAGATATCACACTAGGGTGGAAACATGTTTGTTTAACTCACCCTTTGTTGTTTTTTTTTAATATTGTGAAATGTGACATTCATACCAAGTGTGCATGAAAACATACGCACAGTTTGTAGAATGGTTACACAGATATTCACTTTCATAACCACTACTTAGAAGTAGACTATTGGTGGCACCTGGAATGCTGGTGTACCCTTCCTACTTCCTAGAGTCACCAAAGCCTTACTTTTGTGGTAGTGATTTCATTGCTTTTGCTTAGAATTTTACCACCTGTTTATCCATCACTAAAATATAATTTAGTTTTGCTTGTATTGTACTGTATTTACTATTTGTGTCTTTGTGAAAATGCAAAACCCATGACTGCCTCCTTATATTTTGCACCCTAGGTGCCTTGCTGCCTCATATTGGTCTTCTTGTGTGTGTAGCTTTGGTTCATCTTTTTCACTGCTGTGTAATGTTGCATTATTAGTAAGACTATGACACAGCTCATTTGTGCATTGCAACAGTGGACATTGGGCTGTTTCTGGTTGTGATGACTTCAAGGTTCATGTGAATATTCTTAAACATGTCTCCTGGAATACATATGCACAGACTGTATAGGACATATAGCAAAGAGTGTTTTCATGTTGTGTTTTGGAAGTAATATTTTAAATTCCTTTTGGATAGTTAATGATAAAACATGCCAATCCAATGCAAACATGATTTTATTATAAACCTTAGTATTTTCGACATAATGGAAAATATTATTCATTTCATAATAATATCTACCAATTCTAGATGCACATATACACACTCTTTACCTAAAAGTAGGGTCAAATATTTATGCAGACAAGCCTAGCACTCAGGACTGAGTGCTTCATTCTGAAAGCTGTTCTTCCTATCTCCCCATCCCCTACTCTTTAGTTTTTGGGGGACTTTCAATGGGAAAAGTGAATCGCGCAAGATACTAATAATTTTGAATTGATTAGTCAGAGGCAAACATCTCTTCAGGATTTTTGTTTCCAAGAGCCCTGGTTTACTCTGCTCTGGTGAAGAGAATGTGAATTATGGGCTTTATGTAGCTGAGCCTATGTGCATTTTAAGTTAGGTTGTTTAATGTGCATAACTCGTTCCTTTTGTCTGATTTTGTGAAATACATATCTGACTGTATATTTAGTTTCTGTTTCCATCATGTGTTTTGTGATGGAATTTGCTGGTCAAAACATCATCATTTAATTTATTGAACAGTTTGAAACTTGGTATCTAACTCAGTTCAGGCTGCTATGCAAATTACCACGGACTGAGTGGCTTAAACATTTATGTCTCACAGCTCTGGAGTCTGGGAAGTCTAAGATCAAGATGCAGGCAGAACTGGTGTCTGGGGAGGGTCTGCTTCCTGGTTTGCAGTTAGCTGCCTTCTCGTTGTATCTTCACATGGCAGAGAGCTCCAGACCTTTATCCCCTCACACGGGTGTTAATACCATTCCCGAGGTCTCCATCCTCATGACTTCATTACTTCCCAAAGGCCCTACCTTCAAATACCATCACATCGAGGACTTAGGCTTCAGCATATGAGTTTTGGGGGGACACAAACATTCAGTCCATAGCAAATCCTTTGAGATATTCTAAGTTTCCCATTAGCTTTTGTTGCAAGCATTAGTAAAAGAGGAGAAGTCTATTTCTTTAATTAGTAATTTATTAAAATGGCCAACTCTCCAGCTTTCATTGTCCATCACTAAAAGTTTTAGTAGAATTCTACTTCTACGTGTTCAGTTCAGTGAAATAATTGTGTGATTTGTATTAAATATGATGTAACTATTTAATTCAAAGTTTTCTTCTTTTAGGAGCTATATTATCTTAAAGAGTATGTACTTTAGTACCTACCACTAGTGAATAATCACAATTTTGCTTTATTGAAGCACTAGTTATGTAATACAGAAGTATCTTTCCATCATAGTTCGAAACTGATCAGCATAAAATTGCAAGGATATAAGGGAAATTTGAATTAATTGTAAAAGACATTGTAAATGAGAACAACAGATCTAAAAGGCTTTTACATTTGTACTTATTTGCATATATTAACATTTAACAAGGGATGAAATTTGGAATTCTTTATTGTACTAATACTTGAAAATAGTTATGTAATATAGTTTTTAAAAGCTCAGTTTATAACAGTGACACATTACTCCCCCAAATCTAAACTTTATTTAAACTGTATGTGAGATTCTTTATGCAATTTTTCCGAATAAGGTAACCATTCCAGATAAGGAATCAGATTCATTTATTCTTTACACTGGGTCTTCACTGAAGCTCATCTGGTCTTTCGCTTCGATTTTTTAGAGCTTAGTTCACATTTCACAAAGATTTTTTCCTGGGTTGGGTGAAGTTGTAGATCATCTGTGTTTTCTAAGCAAAATGTCATTCTACGAGTAGAAAACATAAGCACAGCATTAAGTTTTAGATGGAGCTTATTGAATTGTTTCATCTTCTATCAAATATTATTCAATTTATGTAATGCATATGCCATCTTTTTAAGAAATAGATTCTTATGTTTGCAGATATTTTTTATAACTTCAGAGAAAGGCAAAAGCCAAGCCGGTGAAAGCAATCAGCGTAAGACTTCCTGGGGCTCTGTACTGGGGCGATTCCAATTCTGTGAGCACTGAAGGTCCCAGGGGCAGCCCTCCTTTCTTCTCCCTTAGAACTCCTCTGAGATTAGAGGTGGCTGTTGTTTCTTTGACTACCTTGCCCTGACTCCAGGGCAGACGTAGTTCCCCAACTGTTCCTCCCAAGGCAGGCTTCACTTCCCAGCCTGCTGTCCCCTGGACGTGCTCCAGTTTGTGAGTGCTGTTCTTAAAGGTCCTTGGCATGAGGCCACTGTCGTCAGCCTCTGCCTGGCTCAGCCTGTAAGCCCTGCCCCTTCCTCTTATTGGTGCTGACGCTGTCCACTAAAGGGGACACCACTGTGTGTTTGGGGTCCCTCCCATCCTCCCTCTTTCTCTCTCTCTCTCTGAAACAACTGCTAGGCTGCTTTGAGCTGGGTTTGGCCTGAGATGCCGTTTTGTATTATACTACCTACAACCACATCTATTAAAATATATATATTTGTATACACATTTATATATATATATATATATGAACATCTGAAGTCACAGAGAATTCTAATTTATGACTTTTTTTCTTTGAATTGCATCCAAGGTCAAGTCTTTATTAAATCAGACTTTTTAAACTGAAAAAGTGCTTTGAGTAATTTATGAATGCATTCTAGCAAAATTCAAATGGTAAAGAGATACATGGAGCCAAATGTTAAAGACCCTCTTTACCATCACCTGTCACTGGCTTCACTACGCTATGGTTGGGTATATGTATTTCCAGACCAGTTCCTTTTACATACATGTCGCTGTTCACACACAAATATAAAGATTCTTTAATAGAAGTGAGATTATACTGTATGTATTTTCCTGCAATGTTTCCTTGTCACCAAATAATGTACTTGGTGACCTGTTCATATCAGTACATATAAGTCTATTTCATTCTTTTTCACCTATGCATGACATTCCATTGTATGCATTTAGCATTTTCCTATTGATAGGCATGGAGATATTCCCAATAGTTTCCTCTTTATTTATCATTTAACTTTTAAAAACTATAGATCCTATGGAGCCCTGATCCCCACAATTTTTTTTTTCAGCATGTACCTCCTATAGCCCTGAGGAAGGGTTTGATGGATCTATGTAGTAACACCCAGCACTGTGACTCCGCTAGATTAGATTAAGGAAAGTCAAGTTAATGGAATCAAAACTAATGGAGGGAGGAACTGTTGGAAACAGTACACAGGCAACAAAGGTGGTAAAAAGTCAGATAAACTCAAGTCAGATCTGGGCTGAGACAATTGTTAGCAATGTCCTCAAGCTGCGTAACTCCTGTTAGCCTCAGTTTCTTGATCTGCATAGCCAGTACTACCCATCGCAGGGTCACTGGGGGGATTACGTGAGATTAATGGCTCGCAGCATCTAGTTCAAGGCCCACCACGCCTGGGAACTCTGGCAGGGCCAGTCCCCTCCCTGTCCTTGTTCTTCTGTCAGTACCACATGGGTGTGCACCCGTGGAGAAAGTGGTGATGTGTTTCATACAAGCTTTTGGGCTGAGTCACATGGCATTGTCATGGTGAGCAGCTACCAAAACTGAGCACTCACTCTCTGGCTAATGTGGGCAGGGACGGTGCTCAGAAGTGGCACTGCCCTAGAAGGTCAGAGTCATGCGAGAATAGCTAAGGCCAAAAGAGGAGAGAGTGCAACTTGATTTTCTCAGATCGGTCATGTGGAGAGATGTGTTGGCAGACTGCAGAATCTGCTCTTAGTAATTGCGTGGAGTTTGCACCCCAGGGAGATAAAATCCGGGGTGTGGTTGTATAAAGCACTCAGGGGCATAAATCTACCGTGGGCAGGCTCCTGGCGCTGGAACCCGCGAGGGAGGAGGGCAGTTCCGAGGTTAGATGCTTGCTGTTTACCATCTTCTACTAAGGACAAACCAGAGAGAGACCTGGCCTTCCCAACAAATGAAGGTGGGAGAGGAGAGACAAGTTTCCTGAATACAGAAGCGGGAGCCAGGAGAGGGCTGGGGGAAGCACAGAATTCTCCAGCCACCGAGAACTACAGAGCAGCAGAGCAGCAGGGTTGCTATGGCAAATGCATTGGGCAGCCCTTTGCTCTGCAGGGAAGAGTGCAGGAGAAGAGGAACCTCCTAACTTTCTTTACTCCCTACCCCCACCCCAACCCCTTCTTGCCCCAGGGCTTTGGGGACACGGGAGATATTCAATCACAGCATTTCTTAAGGGTAGTCCATTCCATTGGTCCACATGAGAATGTCTTAGGGCTTTTTTTTTTTTTGAGACAGAGTCTCAATTTGTTGCCCAGGCTAGAGTGAGTGCCATGGCATCAGCCTAGCTCACAGCAACCTCAATCTCCTGGGCTCAAACAATCCTGCTGCCTCAGCCTCCTGAGTAGCTGGGACTACAGGCATGTGCCACCATGCCCGGCTAATTTTTTCTCTAAATATTTATTAGTTGGCCAATTAATTTCTTTCTATTTATAGTTCAGACGGGGTCTCGCTCTTGCTCACGCTGGTTTCGAACTCCTGACCTCGAGCAATCTGCCCGCCTCGGCCTCCCAGAGTGCTAGGATTACAGGCGTGAGCCACCACGCCCGGCCAGGGCTCTTATTAAAAAGCGTGCATCCTGGGGGTCCTGCGCAAGACCACAGGGAATCAAAAGCTCTGCAGGTGGGTCCAGGAATTCTGCAAATGTATTAAGCTTCCCAGTGATTCCTCGGCATCTAGATTTGTAAGACACCACCACAGGGAGAGGTAAATTGAGGTTTTTGAGACTATGATCTACTAAAAGCATTTCTCTGGGTATACAACGAAAAAGAAATGTCACATCTACCAGTGGCACCCATCTTTAGGGTGTAATAACGCCCACTTCCTATGATGAGTGCAAGTATGAAACTGAAACTGTCTGACGCACGTAGGTGCTTAATATTAAATAGACGTGAGTGGGAGGTTGAGCCAGCAGTCACCTTTGCTGAGTTTCTCCTGCTTTGACTCTGATGGTCTTCAGGAGGAGGCCCGAGTGACAGCAGGGCTCTGCACCCCATGGGATGATGGTCTGGACCGTGTTCCAGACATTGGTCCACACTGCACTGTTTTCCCACTTGAACTTGATCATGATCAGCTCACCGATGTCCGAGTCCAAGGTGACAAGAAAGGAATAGGTTTTATTACTAGTAATTCCTCCACCCCTTGAAGATACAAAGAAAATCAGACACAGTCAGTCTAGTTGTAACAGCACGGTGAGGCTTAGGCACATTGGAGACGCGTTAGGTTTGCCTTAGTGGCTTGGGTTGGTGTTTTTGCTGCATTTCCCAAACCGGTGTTCGACACACAATTAATAGAGATAACAATAAGTGTGCCAGGATAAAGAGAGTTTTCCAGGCAATAAAAGAGGGAAAACCACCCTATTTTCTGTGTTAGCATATTTAAGCCTCTGAGAAATCCCTCTACAGTGAGTCTAGTTAACTTTCTATGGCTTCGCTTCTAGGAAGAGGCCCTCTAGGACACAGTGGGGCTTTGGCAAAGGCCTCTGGAACTTCAGCTCTCTGTAGTTTTGATGAACCCAATACCCCCATACCACACTCTCTCTTCCCAGTAACGTTCCCCCCCCCATATAAACAGAAACTTCTGTTAAAACAACAAAGCATAACAGTAATAGAAAAACCACATGTAAAAATTCTGCACCAATTTAGAGCAAGATTTAAATGTGGGCTCCGAGGTGTCATTATCAGCTTTACTCACTAATCTCCAAGACATTCAAATATCCCAACATTGGCAGAGCAGCCAGATGCCCTTGCTGCTGAGAACACTCCCCTGGGGAGGGATTGTAGACAGTGTGGGGGCAGCACCGCATCTTGGGGGAGGCAGGGGGCAGAGGGCTCCCATGAGGGGCTTGCCATAGCTCTTGCTGCAGTGCGTTGTGAAGACTCGTGTAGGAATCCACCCACCCTGCTAGGCTGTGAGCACCCTAAGGATAGGGCCCTCCATAGCCTTAGATGTGTTGGGTGGAAGACCAACAAACACTTGCCGAAGGACTGAATCGGTGCAGTCAGCAGAGAAGGGGGCAATCTTCAGGAAGCTCAGGACTGTCCCTGCAGTGGCTGAGGGGCTCGTGTCACTTCCCAGGGAGAGGCCACACTGAGGGCCTCCAAGTGAGGCATCGTGAGGCCGCTGAGGGGGTGTGAACAGGTGGGCAACAGGGTGAAGGACAGCTGGGGAGGCTGGCCGTGCGGGCTGATTGAGACTGGAAATCTGCGCCCAGGTGAATGAGATACCACTTTGATTTCCGGGTTATGGTTTTCGGAACTCTCTGGAAAGGCGCTCAGAGCCTTCTTGCAGACACCTGCTCTGCTCTTCACCACTCAGCCTTGCTCGGATCTTCCCTGGTGGGGTGGGTGGATTCCTACACGATTCACAACACACTGCAGCAAGAGCCGTGACAAGCCACTCAAGGGAGCCCTCTGCCCCCCCTGCTGACTCCAAGATCCAGTGTTGCCTCTACACTGTCTGCAATCCCTGCCCAGGGGCGGGTGTTCTCAGCAGCAGCAAGGGCATCCTGGCTGCTCTGCCAACGTGGAGCTATTTGAATGTCTTGGAGATTAGTGTGCAAAGCTGATAAGGATACCTCAGAGTGTGGCTTTCCTGTCTGCTCAGCCCTCAGGGCATCAGCCTGCCCCACGCACAGGCAGTGGGAGCAGAGAGCAGTAGGAACACATGAGGCTGAGGAGGGACGTGAGGGGCTGGCCTTGGGTGGATGACATCTGACAGGATGCTTGGGGCAGCCAGAATGGGATGAGCTGGGTGTACTTAAAGGGTTGTCTCTGAAGCAGCAAATGCTTGTTTCTGTTCACAAGAACCTGACGGTAAAGTTGATCTGTAGGCCAAGAGGTTCCCCCTTACGTAAGGGCTACCTCAGCTCACATGGCATCTCGTGCCTACCCCAGCGCCCTGCATGTAATAAGTACTCAGATCCTCAAGCCTGAATGAAGTGACCGAGTCTGGCCTGACCCTTGCAAAATACAGGATCCGTCCAGACCCTGTGAGAAAAATAAGCAACGGTCACCACAGACGGGAGCTCATACAGCTCATACTCACAGTGTGATGGGAATTTTCTGCATTTCCTCTTTTGTTCCCAGTAGCGACATGGTAAAAGTTGGTTCTATTGGCTTCTCAATGTGGTTGACGAACCGGATCTTGAACTGGTAATGATAAACTAGAGAGAGAGAGTGAGAGTGAATTTAAGTAAGAATTTTTAATTAAAAAATCTCATATTTTGGGGCCACGCGCGGTGGCTGACGCCTGTAATCCTAGCACTCTGGGAGGCCAAGGCGGGTGGATCGTTTGAGGTCAGGAGTTTGAGACCAGCCTGAGCAGGAGTGAGACCCCGTCTCTATTAAAAATAGAAAGAAAATTAGCTGGACTACTAAAAAATATATAGAAAAATTAGCTGGGCACGATGGCGCATGCCTACAGTCCCAGCTACTCAGGAGCCCAAGGCAGGAGGATTGCTTGAGCCCAGGAGTTTGAGGTTGCTGTGAGCTAGGCTGGGCTGATGCCATGGCACTGTAGCCCAGGCAACAGAGTGAGATTCTAGCTCAAAGAAAACAAACAAATAAAAATCTCATATTTTAAAAATTTTAAAATGCAGAGGGAAAAATTTAGATGGATAGATACCAAAAGGGTAACATTCCTCCCCCCTACCCCCCGCCCCCTCAAGTAGTGGGATTATAAATGCTTTTTTTTTTTTTTTTTTGAGACAGAGTCTCAATTTGTTGCCCAGGCTAGAGTGAGTGCCGTGGCGTCAGCCTAGCTCACAGCAACCTCAAACTCCTGGGCTTAAGCGATCCTGCTGCCTCAGCCTCCCGAGTAGCTGGGACTACAGGCATGCGCCACCCTGCCTGGCTAATTTTTTTGTATATATATTAGTTGGCCAATTAATTTGTTTCTATTTATAGTAGAGACGGGGGTCTCACTCTTGCTCAGGTTGGTTTCGAACTCCTGAACTCAAAGGATCCGCCCGCCTCGGCCTCCCAGAGAGCTAGGATTATAGGCGTGAGCCACCGTGCCCGGCTATAAATGCTTTTTATCTTCTTTCTCCTTCTCAGTATTTTCCAAATGTCCACACAAGACTTATACTCTGTCTGTGATATAATGATGATAAGTATCAGCCAATAAAAGAAGGCAGGATAGGAGTACTATATATCTGGCATTCTCGCTGAATTCTGGATGCAAGTTCTATTGAAATATTTCTTGTATTTGGTGAGGGTCTCCTTTGTAAATCAAAGGATAAATTCCTCTTAGGCACCTGAAAAAGGCAAGAGAGAACACATTGCCATTTTATGCTTTTGTCTCTGTCTGATCGGGTCCATTTCAGGCTGTGGCAGAGTTCCAGCTAAGAAATACATGCCCTGATGACACCATCTCTATACTCGGGGCCAGTTCTTGGCAACAAGCTCTGGGAGGGTAAATAAGCACATTTCCTAATGGAAGCAAGAGAACTCTAGTTCTAGAGTTTGGGCCTAAATGTTTTCTGTCTTATCAAATGTCTAGAATGTCCTTCTACTGGGTTGGTTGGGAAAGAGTAATTTATTTTACTCTTTTTTACCCACAGTCTATATTTAATTAATAAAAGCAAATAGCTTACTATTAGATAGGCATTGTTAAATACTTAACATTGCATCATCTCATTTACTCCTAAACCCTGTGATGTAGGTATTGTCATCCCCATTCTATAAATAAGAAAAACTGGGGCTCAGATAGGTGAAGTGATTTGCTCACGGCCTCAGAGCAGAGTCTGTGGTCTTCGCCTCCCTCAACCTAGATGGTGTTGGCCTCGCCTGCACTGTCACACCAGCCAGCTGTGGGGCTGTTTTCAAAATCACCCTATTACTCATTCCCAAATGGCTGGTTGCTGCTTAGACTTCTTTGTCTTGCTGTCTTCATGTTCTCTAGGTGTTGATGGTGATCTAGCTCCACGATCACAGACGGGTCTAGCATGACATGTCAATTCCATTTGATTGATAGCGACTGCCTAGAGAACCAACCCTATGTTGAGATGGATTCTGAGACTATGTCCAGGTTCTTAGGAGGATCGCTATCTGCTTTGGGCAAAGAATAGGGGATTCATAGTATGCTTGCTATATGTTTGCATTATCTGTTCTAGACAAAGATTAACCCACTAATCCTAATATAACGCCTTGCATATAGTAGGTGCTTTAATAAACCTTTGCTTGGGGGTGATATATCTGGAGGATACATCTAGCAAGATGGAAATCACTTTGGAGGATTCAAGACCCGAGTTTCAAGATTTGTCGTGGGAGAATTCCTTTTGGAGTACTTAGATCATGATAACCTAGCCACTTGACCATTTGTCCCTTGTACCCAGCACGTGGATATTCATCGTCTCCATCAATCAACCCGTTAACTCCCAAGTGGTGCCATTTCCACTGGAGGTTGGTAGCTATACAGCAAACCTAGCAGAAGGCATTGCCAATGGTGTATTGCTAACACACCAGTTTCAGTGTCCTGGAGTGCCTATATTGCTGGGTTTCTAGATTATTTACACAATCCTATCCTTTGGCATAAACAAATCTTCCTTTTTTTTTTTTTTAAGAGACAAGGTCTTGCTATGTAGCCCAGGCTGGCCTTGAACTCCTGGGCTCAAGCGATTCTCCCACCCCAGCCTCCCACATAGCTGGGACTGCAGACATGTGTCGCCACGCCCAGCTTCCCATTTAGATTTTGCAGTGCATTTGCTCACGTGTCTGGGGATGATATCTCTTGGGATTACTAAAGGGGCTGTCTCTGAAGCACCAAATGTGTATTTATGTTCACAGCAAGAACCAAATACTAACAGTCAATTCATAGGCCAAGAGTTTTCTGCTTTAGTAAGAGCCAGCTTGGGTCGTAGCTGGCAGCCACTACAGTGCCTGCACATTAAATATAGGTGCTCAAGTCCTCGAGCCTGGAAAAAAAGTAGTTTGATGCCCTCAAGACAGCAAAAAAGGCTGTGGGTGAGAAATAAGAGCTATGGACACAAGTCCCAGGCAAGGGTCCCTAAACCCTTGGGTGGCACCACTGGAAAGAGAGACTGTAGCTTATTATACCAGAAGCCTCTGGAGAGGTCTCACGCTTTTTGGGGGTTTGTCAAGGAAGCTCTGCAAGAAGTGAGCAGTGCTATAAGTTGCACTGAGGCAACAAAGGAAAGGCCATTCCGAAGACACAGGCCATAGACAGCAGGGTGGGAGGACTGGATTAACTTTGAGTTAACCCTACAAAGACACAGGGCACCTTCCAGAGAATGCAAGGAACACTCATAACTATCAATTTTCAATTCACTTTAATATCATATGGATTAAGTGGAAGTCTATCATGTACTCACCCCGGTGTTAAAAGATGAACCGGTAAAAGTGTGTAATTGCTGGTATGCATGATAATAGTTAACACTGGTTAATATTTGTTTTGGTTGTTGCCAGGTGCTTTGCATCTATGACCTCATTTAACCCTCGCAACGAGTGACACTATTATTATCTCATTTTAGAATAGAGGGAACTGAGGCACAGAGAGGTTAAGTGACTTTTCTGGGATCACACAGCGAGAAAGTAGCATGGCTAGCGTGGCAGCCCAGGCAGCCCGGATCCAGAACCTGAAATTTTACACCTTTATTCCTAGGACTGAGAGCTTTATATCCCCTAAGTAAAAAGTTGAAATGTGGGAAGAGATTTAAGTTAAAAAATGCGATAACAATTATTTCTTTAAAAATAAACCAGCAACACCTGAAATATTCAGTAATAGAAGAATGACTGTGGACCAACAATATCAATTATGCCAATTACCATTTAGTTCTTTACCATGTCCCAGACATTGAGCTAATTGTCTCACATAATTGTCTCACTTCCCTTTACAACAGCTTTATAAGATGCCTACTTTATCTTCCTTCCCACATCATTTTGTAAATGAAACCAAGGCTCAGAAAAAGTTAAATAACGTGTCTGTTGTCACGTGGCTAATAACTGGTGAAGCCGTAATTAGAAGTTATTCTGCTGATTTCTCAGTTCATAGTCCCAACCATGTGATTTACTCTTATAAAGCCATTAAACGATATTTTGGGAACGATTGCAACGCTTATGAAAGATGTGAAAAGAAAACAAAAACAAAAAACCAGGATATGAACTTGTCTATTTAGTATGAGACCGACCCTGTAAAAGAGAATGCACAGAAGTAGGGGAATTCGCAAAAATATTAGCAGCGCTCATCTCTGGGAAGGGCAGAGAGGTATTTTTTATTCTCTTCTTTATGTTCTGCACGTTCCACATTTTCTACACGATAAGCATGTGTTCTAATCAGAATCTTACTGGAAAAAGAAAGAGCTTTTCAAAGTGTTCAAAACGAAAACAAGAAGTCCTGACTTTGGAGGAGATTGAAGCTGGGAGGCAGAGTCACTCACAGGACCTTTGTCACCTCTGCCTTGTCTCACGGGCATCAATGTCCATGTCTTATCTCCCTGAAGGCAGTCTTGGGGTCACATTGCTGCTTGTAGCTCCCTCAGGGCACACAGCACACGCCAGGCAGCCAAGCAGTACTTTAGCATGGGCTCTGCGTGAAGAACAACTAGGAACACGCACTGCATTAAAGCCCCTAAGAGCGATAAAATAGCGTCGGTTTGTTGAGGCTCTATTATGCATCTTGCTACGTACTAAGTGTTTTACATACAGCGTTTTTGTCCTCATAGCTAGACAACCTTAATCATAACTTGCTGGGTCATTTCCATCTGCTGTCCCTCTTACCCTCACCTACTCTGCCCTCCCTGCCCAGCTCTGAGCTCCAGGATGGGACACCTTGGGCTGCCGACTGGTTCCTGGTTGGCTTTGGCCACTGGAGAGGCACTGGCAGGAGATCAGGGCAAAGGAGAGCAAGGCTGGGGGATCTTTCCTTGGCTTCCTCCTGCTTTGTAGCCTGGCTGTGTAGCAACCACGCCCCCATATTTAGCAGCCTCTCCTGTACCCCTCTGTTCTCCCTGGGCTAGTCCCATCCCTGGCTCCTGCCTGGCTGTTGGAGTCCGGGTGCAGCAACAGCCCTTGTTGGTTTCCTTACTACCGCCCACCCTGCTGTAAGGAGTCCCACCCGCTCTCTTCACTCCATGCAGGCGACTAGAGTCCTGTTTTCTGCTGAGACCTAGACTGACACAGTGTTAGTTACCCTGGTGAACTACAG